TACAGAATCTGCAGAGTCATGCTTTTGATATTTGTGCTACTCTTTGGACCATTCTACTTTCAGCAAGGAAGAGAGTGCCTCTGCAGGGTTGCCAAGAAAAATACACCATTGAGCCAGGCTCTGGAGCCCCTTTCCTGGACCCATCTTGTTGCAGGAGCCCTCCTAAGCCTTCCCACGCATAGTCTTGTTTGATCACTAATAATGAAGGGCATTAGGATGGTTTGGGGGTTTGCAGTCTTGAAGAAAAGGAAAGAACTATCTGTTTCAAGATTATATTTGTTGAGTTTTCAAGAGCCAAATGAGAGAGAAACTCCCTTTTTCTGAACATATATTTTAGCCTTGTTGCATAAATATGGAAATCTACAACAAGAGTGGACAGCTTCAAAGTCCAATTTCTGGCCCACAGGAACCACTAAGGGCTGCTCACACACACACCATTACCGCTGGATTCAGCAATGTACACCTTGTTTTCACCTAGAAGCCCCCAAAACACAATTTTGCAGAAAACAGTGGGGTAGATCCCTATATTAAAGTGAAAATGCTGTCTTTTTCCTGCTGCCAGTCTGCACCACCAGAATTTGAGAGCAAAGAAGGAATGCAGTGACCACAATTGGGAGAGGGAATCAAAAAGGACAAGGGCCCATGTGGTCTATGGGCCATGTATTGCCTTCAATTACTCTTGACAATGGACTGTATCATCTCTCGTCTAAATGGGTGTGATTTTAACTGATTTTGTCAGGAAAGGTCTACGGGGAAATCATAACAAAGGGGGATTGGACTGGATCAGTACAGAAGGGCAGGGATGAAGAAAGCATGGGCAGGGCATCTGTCAAAGTTCTACTGATCAGTGTTAGAAGCTAGTATTATAAACTGGGTGGATGGGAAGTGTTGCCTGGCACATGATCCCCTTGTTAGTCAGGTTCACCTAGTGAGTGGCCAAGGTGGCCTACACACCAAGCCGCATATGGGTCAACACGACTGCCTAGACTAGGACTTGCCCTTGCAGAGCAGCTATGCCCTCTTCTTGGGGTGCAGCTAAGGGAGTCATCATGACGTGCACCTACACTTCACGGTTGACCATGATGCTGTTGGTTGGGCAGGGGCTACTCTACACCCCCTTCCATTTATCAGGGAGCACCGCCACAGTATTCACGCAAAACACATTCACCATTGTTGGAGCTCATGCTAGTGCATACAGTGCAGGTTCCCCTGTGCCGAAAAGGCAGTCTTGTGCCACACCCGAATGCATCTGCAGGAGAAGAAGAGATGGAAAGGAGACATGTGCAGGAAAATGGCTGTTCCTTTCATTTGATTTTGTTTTTTAGATCCATTCTGTGCGCATTCACTTGGGTGAAGGAGCAGAGATTTTTAAAATAGGAATTCACAGCACTTTCCCAAAAGCCAAAAGGACACCCCTCTCCCCTTCATGCTGACTTTTGCATGTAACTGAAGGCAATGGCGTTTACTTCTAAGGAGACATGCATATCAGGGCATTTCAGCTCATTGTTCCTTACCCAGCACTTGAAACAATGTGGGAGTTTTGTGTTGTTTGCAGATACGCACCTCTGCAGTAGCAAATGCTGTTTGAAAGAAAAAGCCCCGGGCAAGCACTCTGCCGCAGCCGTCCCCACCCACCAGAACATAGCCACAAGTTTAGCACACTTTGAAATAGTGTGAAAAAAACAAAGCATATGCAAAGTTGTGGCATTACTGGTCTGAAGAAATCCAGAATATAATGGCAGAAATAGCACAAGGTGGTTGATTTAGGGTATGTCTCATGTGACATAGCAGTAAGTCAGATATTACAGTCCCAGCAAAAGTCCTTAGTGTAGATTCCTCCTTGTGGTCAGAATCTTATCTCTATTCCCTTCTCTGTTTTCCTCAAGGAGAGTTTTTATCAGATTCTATTGCCTTGGTGCTAATGTTGGACACCAAACCATCTGAAATGAATGTATAAACTCCTATGCCAGATCCCAGGAGCATGCATGCATGAGTGTGAGTGTGAATGTGTATAACAACAGCGGGGACTGTACATTGATACATCCCTTTTGGGAAAAAATCTTTGGATAGAAAGAAATGATAAACGAAATGACTGGGTATGATAAACCACAAACACATGAAGCTGCTTGGCTTGGCTGCTTGAAAGTTTTGCTATTAGAAGATGATCTTGAACCAACTGAAAATCTGTTAATTTCAATCAACCAATTCACAAATGGGCACAGGAATTTGGCAGGAGCTCTTTGATTGGAGTGTGTTTGCCAACTGCTTTGGAAACTAAACTCTGAGAAGACCTGAAGAAACCCAATATGCAGATAGTGAAACTGATTTCATTTCACAAGAAGCTCTTGGTAACTTACATCTGTATACATTATCTTATTTAATTAAGTCTGTCTTGATAGCCCAACTTACCTAATGTAGGGTGCAGGATGGCCATATTTCCTACTGCATAGCTGCCAGAGAGATTATCTGTCCAGGTTTGGTTTAAGGATGAAGAACCATTGGGAGGTAGGGCACTCAAGGGCCTGACAGTTGCCCACCAGCAATTAGTACAGACTAAGCAGACACATGGGTTACAGCTTTCCCCCACTGTAATGAGGTGTATTGCTTTTCCTTTACAAACCTAGTGATTCTTTCTAGGTGTGCATGTACACCTATACATTAGCACGGGCAAAGTGCATGCAATTCTCTGTCCTCTTTCATGCTTGTTTCTGGTTTTGGGTAACCGGGCACCTTCTTCCAGTGCAGTGAACAGCTGGCTTTGGGCTGGCTAAGAGGGTGCAGGAAGTGCTTGGTGCTGCTCTAGTTGGAGCAGAAGCCCTGCACTTCAGATGGTACTTAGGCTGCTCAAAAGTCCCCCTTGCCCACCCCACTGCCCTGGTGTATGTGGGGGAATCTTAACTGGCATGAATTCCCTGCCACCAGTGAAGAGAAGGTCAAATACAGCATGAAGGGAGGCATGTCAGGAAAGCTAAAGCCCCTCAATCCCCAACATGCTCACCTGAAGTTTCCAAAGCTATGCCAGCCCTGGGGCAGGCATAATAATTTCACTCCCTCTGGAGTTATTGGGATGAGTAAAAATGCCCTTTTCCACCCCAACAGTGAGCCAGTCAAACTTAGGAAATGACAGCACCTTTGCCAACCACAGTAGGATTATCCTGCCCAGTCTTTTCCAAGTGTTTATTTTCAAGATTTTAATATTTATTTTCATGCTTGCTAATGGTATCTTTATTCTGGTCATTTTTCAAGGGTACCTTTGTCAATAGTTTAATAATAAAGACAAAATTTGAAGAAAAACTACCAGGCAGCCATTCTAATTCTGAACTAGAATGGTAGATTGGAAAGGCATACAATAATATAGGCAATTATAGGGAAAGTTAGCTTTGACATGGGCAGAAATTAGCAGCAAGCTAATCACTTAATCTATGAGCTAATCTAAATGTACACACCTTTAAATGATAGACAGTGATCCCTTCGGTTGAACAAGCCTGACACAGGAGATACTAAGGGAGGGGGCATTGAACTACTCTGACTCTGAGCCAAGAGTTGACTTGTAATGCTAATTTATGATTGGTCCTTGTTAGCATGGAATGCCTGAGTACCTGTTTGCCCCCTAAGGGATTTGATCCTTTGGGTGTCTTCCAGGTGAGCACATGCAAAGGATGGGTGCTTTGTGCATGCCCAAAGTATGTGCCAAACACTTGCAAATCCTTGACTGACATGCCCATCCCTGAGTCTCCATTGCTCCTTTCTCCTGCTCCCTCCAAGGAATCCTGCATAGATTTTTTTTCTTTTTGTAGCCCTTGTGGGAGAGGAATTTAGGGAAGGAATCAGCAGGGAGTGATAGTTTCAGTCCCACTTCCCCTGTGTAGCTGTCCAGATTGAGGTCAAGATCCTACACATGTAAACAAAGAGTTGAGATCTCCTATGCTGCACATATTAAACCTCAAGTATTGCTGAAGGAAAGGGGATGGTTCAGGGTAAAGGCATGAGAGGGGCTGACATGGGTCCCCCACCCTTTAATGAAGTATCACATTCCAACTGCATCCACAAAGACTAGATATCCCAGCAGCGTGTTTGTAAACAGATGACACTAATTTCACCCATTCCCATGAAGGAGAGACTTTCACTGTCCCTGGTACATTGGAGGCCCTCGGATGGGGTGGAGGGGGAGGGGGGGTGTTGCACCAGAGGCTCCAGTTAAGAGTCAACTCCTAGTTTCAATTCCTTGTAGAATCCCCATTGTTAGCAAGACTGTCTCCGCTGAACAGGCATCTCCTCTGAAGTTAGGATTCACTTGCTTTGATATTAATGCAGACAAAGAAGTCTCTGACTTAAAGATGTTTTATTTTTATTTTTTTAATCATAGCTGACAGGACAGAGCCTGTCTGGGAACTCATTTCAGCCAGAACTTTAGACAGGGAAACAATGAGCAATTTCTCAGAAAATTCCTCATTTCCTAAAGTTGCCATTGAGCAAGTCATATTTACACAATCTGAACCTTGAAACCTTGTACATGATTTGTCAGCTTGACCCTTGGGCATCCAGGGGTGCAAACAGGATCTTTTTGTTGCTTTATGCTAGCAAAGGCAGATCCAAAAAGTCTTCCATCTCGTCGGTTGCTTTGGAGTATTTTGTGCAATTTTAAAAATCCACATTTTGCTGAGGAACATTCCCAAGCTCTACAATAGTTGCCACAGTGTGGTGCATATATCTGAATGCCAGCAGTGCATGTCAGCAATGGCCCATGACATCCCTATCATAACAAAGTTCAAATATTGCCCAGCATGTGCCAGTGTGTGCCCTCAGATATTGTATTTCTTTCAGACTTCAATACTTTCCTCAGCAAGCCAAAGGTAACTAAGAACTGAAGTTAAAGCAATCACTTGACAATCCTAAAAACCATTTTTGACCCTGTTTTTGCTATTTTCAGAATGATGATTCCAGCATGGCTATCCCAATATTGCAGCTATTCAGCCACAATCTGTGATTCTTTTCCCCAGGGGTAACTTGGAGCACCAACCCTGCAGAAACGGAGCAGGTTGAGATCCGGCTGGTGAATGGTTCGAGTCGCTGCAGTGGGAGAGTGGAAGTGCTCCATAATGGGATGTGGGGCACTGTTTGCGATGACAGCTGGGGCATGGAGGAAGCCAAAGTTGTCTGCAGGCAGCTGGGTTGTGCAGCTGCAATATCAGCCCTACGTGAAGCACATTTTGGGAGAGGAACTGGACGTATCTGGATGGATGAACTCCGATGCACGGGGACGGAATCAGCTCTCACTCAATGTCCAGCAAGGCCCTGGGGAGATAATGACTGCCATCATGGAGAAGACGCAGGTGTTATTTGCTCAGGTAACCTCATCAACTATATTCCACCCTTCACCTTTGAAATGGCCTGCATTGCCAAAGGACAGAGCCTATAGCAGCCTAGGGAGGGATTCCCTTCCAGAGAAGCTCTCTGGGACACTGTTCCAGTAGTGGGCAGGGCTGAAGCCAACAGGAATGGCCTCAAGAATAGCAAAGACGACAGCACAGTGCAGCTTAAGGCTCTGCCAGTCACTCACCTTAGAGGCATTTCACACCTTTGGAGTTGGGGAGAAAAATGAACAACCCAGGAAGCCACCAAATAGCTGGAGTCCAGAAGGGCAGACTAGGATCCCAGGAAGGTGGGACCTGGACACTGGGGTTAAGCTTTTGCATTTCTGGCCTATAACTATGCTATTAAATCAGCTTATAAGACTGAAGCATGAATACATAGAGAAGTTCAGGATAAAAATCATAGTAACCAACAATAACAATAAATAATATCTGAACTAGTGCTGTGATGAAGCTCCATGGACTCTGTCCCTCCATGGACTTTCTCTCATGCTTGGCCTGGTCTTCTAAAGCAACAGAGCAGAGAGAAAGTCCTTAAATGCTCGTGGAATGAAGGCTGTGTAACCGGCAGCATCCTTCTGCATCACATGCCGGGGCACAAACAAGGGCTGCAGCATATGATGTAGAGGAGAGAGGCTGCTTGTGCAGTAGTTGAGCGGGTCTCAATTCCTGGCAGGTGGCATGTGAATGCTCCATGCACTTGTGAAGAACTCAGACTTCCCTGGGAATCTGACAGATCAAAGCCACAGACAGAAGCCAGTGAGTTTAAAAAAGGCAACCCCAAGAATGTTAGCCATCATCACACTTGCATTTGTGTCTCAAACATTTCTTATGCACAGTCTCCCTCCTGTGGTAATAGCTGGTATTTGCAACAAGAAGAAATGTATGAGCAAAAACAGGTGCCCCGAAGTGGTAAATATGGGAGGAAAACTTACCTCTTCATGCCGTCCTTCAGACTTGAGCACAGTTGGTGCCAGTGGATAACCCCCATCAGCACTTCTATGCAAACCCTCAGCAATAATACCTAGGAACCGTTCATGAGGCAAAGGGTGGCATCTGTCAGCCTTATCCACCCAGGCACTCCTGGTGTGTTGAACTACAGCTCCCCTGATCCCGGTCACCTATGGTCCTTCTTCAAGACCTTATCAGAAGCGCCAGTGTCTGCTTCAAAGGCAGAAGCTCTTTTCCCCACCTATTGCAACAGTATCCTCATGGGCAGCACATTAATTTTCCACATGGGATGACTGAAGCTGCTCCCATGAGACAAAGGAAGGGGTATACAGAGGCTGGTCCAACTCAGGTAACCATGGTCCCAAGGTAACAAATACTCAAGCATTTGAAGCCATTCATGACATACGGCTTTGCACAGCAGACAGAAACAGCCCTACGGAATCCCTCAGATACAGAATGTTTGTGTTTGCAAACAGAAGAAAATCAAGTAGTCTACACTGAACAATCTGAGCAGACTGAAGAACATCCAGTTTATACACAGAACTCTACTTCCCAGGAACTTCAAGGATAACTACAGTCAGCAACTACCACTACAAATACAGAAACTTCTGCAGAAAATGACAATGAAGTGACAGGACCTACAGCCAAAGAATTTACTCAGAACACTGAAGGAACATGCCATGAGATATTTGTACCAAAAGAAGTTCAGGCTCATTGCTGTCTTAAAGACTTGGGAAACAAAGCAAATTATCTCAGCAAAAACCCTAGCATTGCAGACATGAACATGCCAACTCATTTCAGAGACAATGATGATGTAGGGTTTATGGACCACACTGAATAACAAGAAAATGTAATTCTGGGTTGAGAAAGGACCATCAGAATGTCAACACTGGGATGGACCTTTTACCAATTCAAAGCAAACATAGAAAACACAGGCCTGGCTCAAAGAATGTATCCCATTCCACCAAAGTAAATGAAGAAATCTACCCTTGATAATAGCTATTCTCCCACAAAAGGAAAAGTCTATTGTTTTGTGTACAAATGTTTCTCTGGCCAAACCACCTCAATTACAACTTTAGCTTCAGTGGATTTGATGATTAGCATCATGCTTATATTGAACAAACCCACAGAAACTCTAAAAATTATATGAACTCTATGCTAACATATTTATTGGGAAAGTATGGTCAAATGCTCACATCAACACTCAAAAAGCAAATCAAAGCAGAGCAGAATTATTGGAGGCAAGTACTTCAGTGATTTATTGCAGTGTTCTTCCTTTTGGCAAAACATGGCTTGGCATCTAGGGGAGCTAATCAAACACTTGGTTCACCAAACAATGGTAACGTTGTTCAATCATTCCAATTATTCACCAAATTCAATCTCTTCCTGTGTCCTCACATAAATTAGTATGGAAGTAAAGGCTCTAGTCAGCCATTGCACTCATCCAAAAGCATATATGAAGAGGTTATCCAGCTGATGGCTAATAAAGTTTAAGAAGCAATACTGAGCAATATCAAACAGGCAAGTGTTTTAGTTATTGTTGATTTAACTCCTGATGTTTCCCATACTGAACAACTTACTGTTATTGTTAAATTCGTTTCTCCTTGTGACAGATTACCATTTGAATGCTTTCTGAGTTTCATTTTGTTTTGTTTTTGAACTGAAAGATCACACCAGTGAAAGTATGGCTGAAACTGATACTGAGCTACATCTGTGAACTTGAAATAGATTTCAGTAAATGTAAAGGATAATCATATGACAATGCAGCCAATATGACTGGAAATGGCGTTCAACAAAAATTTGGAAGAAACAAGTTTGCAAAGTTTATTCCAAACACTGGACATTCCTTAAATCTAGTTGGACAAACTGCAGTTGATTCATGCTTGGATGTAGTGAATTTTTTTGGCCGAAAATGAGCTTTACTTTTTTTTCCCCTCAGCTTCTACAAAAAGATGGGAGTGCTAAAAAATTTCTTGTCTCCCGAGTCAAAATTCCTAAACATTTATCAGACACAAGATGGGAGGTTCACTCCAAAGCTACTGCAGCCATTTGCAAAAGTCATGCTAGCATTGTTGAAGCCCTCAATCATATTTACTGTGATGAAACAGTAAACAGAGATACTAGATGACAGGCTGAAAATCTTCTGCAGAAAATGGAAGAATTTGAATTCATTTTCATATTTCACCTTTGGACACATTTGTTAGACCAATTTCATATCATTAGTAAGGCACTCCAAAGTGCACAAATTTCATTGACCCCATGCACAAATATTTACAGCTTTCTAATGCAGTTCATATCAAACACTTGGGCTAATTTTGATAAAATTGAACAGCAAACAAAATTTACTTTACTGGATGTATAGTACAAAACTGTCAAAAGAAGACAGAGAGTACAAAATAAAACAAAACAATGATGAGACAGTACCCAAAGCTGTAGCTGAACTTTCTCAAAGAGACAAGTTTAGGGTAAATTCATTTATCCCTGTCATGGATGCTGTTGAAGCCAATCTAGACAGAAAAGCAACCACTTATAAGAATGTAACTGACAATGTTTCATTTTTGGCAAACCTGAAAGCAACCAACGAACAGATTCACAATGGTGTCAAGATGTTGGTGCAAGAGTATTCACATGATGTTGATCTTAGTCTACTCAATGAACTCTTGCACTTCCACCTGTACGTCAAACAAGCGCACTGTGAAGAAAGAAATCCCGGTCACCAAAATATGTATCCAATAATATTCCACGAGAAAATTCAGACAGTTTTTCCTAATGTGGAAACAATTTTCAGATTGATCTTGTATTTAATGGTCACTAACTGTACTGGAAAAAGATCATTTTCTAGATCATAAAGGATAAGGAATGATCTATGGTCAACAATATCCCAAGATTGGTTTTCTGATCTAAGCATTCCCAGCTTTGAAAATGATAAGCTGTGACTTACTGATTTTAATGATATAATTGATAAGTTTGAATCCAGAAAAGCTCAAAAGAAACTGTTATGACTTTGTAGTGTAATGTTTTACTGTAGTTATGCTTTCCTTATAAATGTTCTGTGTGCACATCTCCATTAATTCCATATTTTTTAAAACTTGTTAATGGTTATAAATTTATAAACAATCTTTTTATCAATGCTTAAATTTCAGGAATGTTCTACATTTATTGAGTAGATAAAGATAACAATGCTGTTAAGTTTGGGCCTTCAAAGGTCTCCTAGCCCAGGGCCTCTAGTTGCTTTAATCCTGGACTGACTGCATTAGATGTGTTGCATTCTGTTTTGTCTCCAAACAGAGGTGAGGTTGGCAGGCGGTTCAGCTCCCTGCACAGGCAGGGTTGAGATACTCCACAACCAAAGATGGGGAACAATCTGTGACAATGGCTGGGACTTAGCCGATGCTCAAGTTGTCTGCCGGGAAGTGGGCTGTGGAGATGCTTTAGCAGCAGCAAATGCTGCTAAATTTGGAAGAGGATCTGGCCCTACCTGGATGGATCAAGTGAACTGCACAGGGGAAGAAGACAGCCTAAGGAAATGCCCACCAAAAACCCTGATGGAACACAGCTGTGATCATAGCAAGGATGCCGGTGTAGAGTGTTCAGGTAATGACCACAGGATCATGGAAATAAAAAAGGACCATGGAACCATGTACTCCATCCCCTTGTCTAAAGGATGGCCTGTCCAGCTGTTCACTTCTGTACTGGGGCGGTAGTGTCCAGCCTAAAATTAAATGGAATGTGCTGCTGGCCATCTCCAGCCCAAATGTGTCCTCCTCAAAGGGTTCAGACTCACACATGAGTTGCCATATGAAAGACCACCTCTTTCTCCCTTGCCGGAAACATAATGTAAGACCAGTAGAAAGGGAAGGCTGGGATGAATAAGTAGAAAGAGAAGGACCTTAATGCTGGTCTGCAGTGAGGAGTTTGCTAAAAGGGAGAAAAGAGGGACTTTATGAGAAAGCAGTTATATAGTAAAGATTCTTGCTCCAGAAATGTTCATTCTTTGTCAATTGTTTTCACCTTTCTCAGAGCCACCTGAGATCAGATTAACAAATGGCCCCAATCACTGCTCTGGAAGAGTTGAGATATTGCATGATAAACTCTGGGGAACTATTTGTGATGACGACTGGGACCTTGATGATGCCAGAGTTGTGTGCCAGTATCTAGGCTGTGGAACGGCTTTATCTGCCCCAAGAGGTTCTCGTTTTGGAGCAGGAACTGGCCCCATATGGCTAGATGGCATCAACTGCACTGGGTCAGAGACTGCTATCACCAAATGTCAAGCAAAAAGCTGGGGAGAACATGACTGTACCCACTCAGAAGATTCTGGTGTTATATGTGCAGGTAAGAGACAAGCGCACACATGTGTGGTTCACACTCTGAATCACTCTTCAGAACTGAACCAGAGTGCAAGTTTCTTCTTTTTGAATTCATTTGTCTTGTTGAAATGAATAGCATCAACTCCAGTTATATCATTGTTGCTCCCAAAATAATCATGGCAGCACTAGCTGGATGAAGGTACTGACACTTCAGAACATACAGAGTTGCCCTATAATGCAACAGTTCCCTGGGGCACCCAGTTCACCATTGTCTATCCTGATTAATAGCTGCTCTGAAGGGTTTAAGCCAAGGCAGTCTTCATACCCTATGAAGTTCATACCTTTCATGCCCACGGCTTAAGCATGCCCCTTTCACTGAGCCACAGCCTTTCCCCTTTGATACTGAGTTACAGTTCTCATCTACAACTACAATTTCCAGGATTCCTTAGAGAGGATGCAGAGAGGGAGAATGCTTAGCAAACATACTCTATGGCAAGGGAAGACTATTTGCACCTCTTCAGATATTTTGGACCAAGAGTTCTCTATAGTGAGCAGAATCCTACTTGGAGGGAGTCTTTTAGGCCCTCCAGAAATGCTGGCTCCAGGAACCCTCAATGGGGCCACTCCCTCAGTGACTCTGCTTTCTCATCACCTTTGTCACCTTTGCTACTGGTTCCCATCCTTTCCCTCATCATCACTTGCTTGCTGGATGGGCAAAGAGGCAATGAGCAAGTAAGCAGCAAGCACCTCATGTTCCTTCTTCACACCTCCACTGTTGTTTGGGCCATAGAAGAAGACAATTGCGATGGGAAAGAAAAGGTGCAATTCCAGGATATTTTTGCCATGGCTCCCTGCTGTTCTTGTGGACCTCCCTGCTGTTCTTGTGGAGCAAGTGTCCAACCATGTCAGGTGGCTGGCTCCACTGTTGAGCTGCTCTTGCTATTAATCTGTTCTTCCTAATGTTCAATTGAATTCTACCTGTAAATTAAGCTGTTAGTTCTAGTCTAAGTGTGTTTTCTTCTTTATTTACATTATTTCCTCCACCCCACTGTTAGCTCAGTTGCATTCTCTGCCACTTGATGCTGCAAAATCGAATTCTTTTTGTCCCACCAGAGCTCCGCCTAATGAATGGCCAAAGCCGCTGCTCGGGGAGGATTGAGGTGTATCACAATCAGCAGTGGGGAACCATTTGTGATGATGGATGGGATTTAAATGAAGCCAACGTTGTGTGCAGGGAACTGGAGTGTGGAACAGCCTTAAAAGCAACTGGTGGAGCACAGTTTGGCCAAGGAACCGGTCCCATGTGGCTAGATAAAGTGAACTGCACAGGAAAAGAAGCATACCTGAATGAATGCCAAAAAAGCCCCTGGGGAGAGAACCGTTGTGATCATCGGAGGGATGCCAGCGTTGAGTGCTCAGGTGATTTTGTATGAAACCTCTCTAGGGCCATCTGAGAACAAGATCAAATTCTTTTTTACAGTCAGATGTTTGGCCAGAGTATATTTTCTGAATGAAAGATGAGTAGCACCACTGTTCTGAACAAAGCAGACTGTTACCGCCAAATAATGTCAGATATATTCAGCAGATATACAGGCAGACAATGCTAGCATTTAACACAGTGTTGGCTCTCAAAAAAGTCCAACCAAATACATATCCTCCTTCCAGAGGCCACCGTCTTACCATCAAGCAGCAAAAATGGGTCAGAACTGTTTCCTTCTGTCTCCACCCAAGTAGGTGGCTGTGCAGTGGAACCAGTATTCCCAGGGCTGAAGTTTGCAGGTTTTTTCAAAGTAGGGACAATAAACTAATCTGCCACCCCTCAGGTTTTCCTGAATTATATCTAATCTTCACAGTAGCTGTGAGGGTGGGAGAGAATTGGTTTTCCCAGCAAGGATGTATTGTTGTAAGCTATCCCTGAGAACTATTTTGAGATGGTTTGGACTAGAATCACCAATTAAAACTAATCAGCATTTTTAAAAGTCTTGCTCTCGGTGGAGATGAAAACCACCACTACCACATTGCATTTAGATTCCACCCTTTTTCTTCTGGTGAGGAACCAAAGGTGACATACACAGTCTTCTTCCACTCCATTTCTCCTCACAACACCAGCGCTGTGAGGTTAGTTAGACTGAGAATGAGTGACTGGCCCCCAAGTCACTCAGTGGGCTTCATGGCTGCGTGGGGACTAGAACTCAGTCCCCAGTCCCACACTCTGAGCACCATAGCACATGCATTAAACTTATGTTAGAAAGTAACACAATTAACCCGCAATCTGTTATAAATAAATGATCCTCAGCCACATTATAAATCATAGGTTGTGGTCCACACTATTCCTTAATGTCTCTCACCTCTGACATCTTCCACCACTGAATCCAGGGTATTATGCATGAATGGGGTTCAATCATGAGTCACAGCTCTGAATTATATCACTCCCAAGAACTCTGGCATATGTCAGAGTAAATAATGTGGAGAGAGGCTGCCCTGAGTTGTTTTCTTCTTTTCATTGGAAGCAAATCAGGCAGCAGGAACTGACATGCTTGCTTTCCCCGGATTTGTTCACAGGGTTTTAAAAGACGGGTTGTTTTGATGTCTACTGATCAATGACTGGCCCAAGGTCATTCAATGAACTCAATCGCAGATCAGAAATTTGTACCCAGATCACCCAAGTCAAAGTCCAGCAAGCTAAGCACTCCTCCTCCTTTTTACCAGTCCACTATTCTATCCCTGTCAACTGATCCCTATAGCTTAGGTTTTGTGCTGGGTATTGCACAATACACTGTCACAAATGAAATAGATGAACACAGCTGTCTGCATTGTGGGCACTGCATGGAGACTGCCACGGTGAGCATCTGCAGTTCCAAACTTACCACTGCACTACTCTGTATGTTTGCCTAATAGCTACCAACCCTTAAAACCACGAATGGTCATTTAAATAAATATCTTGCAGTCTTCAATATTCACTAAAGATTTTTTATTATTATTACTGAAACAAATGCCTAAAAATAGAGCTCAGTTTAGGTGTTGAGAGCCCTTCACATGAAATAATCCTTTAAGGCACATCAGCGCTATTGTATTATTGTATTAATGTATTTTACTTGGGCAGAGGTGACTGAGATTGATTTGCTTTTCCGGAGACTACTTCTTAGGACCTAGATGTAGGCCAGGTGGGACAAGTCATCACCCTTTCCCTCAAAGCAGGGGAGCGCAAGGTGTAGCCCTCCACTTCTTTTGCCCCACAATGCCCATCAGGTCTAGAGAATGGTGAGGGCTGATGGAACCTGACAAACAAACTGTCTGGAGGGCCACAAGTTCTCCTCACCTGCCTCAAAGATTACTTCTCAACATGAGACCTAGAAATGGATCACATGGTGAACCAGAGAGATGAATCAAGTCATCTACATTGCTTCCACAAATGACCATACATCCACTTGAGCAGCCTTTGGAAGACTGGAGCTCCCTAACCAGGAGCAAAGACAAGGGAGGATGAGAAACTGGGATTTGGAGATGTAATGGTGCCTCTGATCCTTTTTCAGACCCAAATGAAGTGAGGCTGGTGAACGGTACAAGTCGCTGCACTGGCAGAGTTGAGGTGCTCCACAATCAGCAGTGGGGGACTGTGTGTGATGATGGCTGGGACATGAGCAATGCCCAAGTCGTGTGCAGAGAGCTGGGCTGTGGAGTTGCCTTGTCAGCCCCACGAAGCGCTCAGTTTGGAAGAGGAAACGATCCTATCTGGCTGGATGATGTCAAATGCAAGGGGACAGAAGCAGCCCTCAGGGACTGCCGCCTGAAAGCTTGGGGAGAACATAACTGCAACCATGGAGAAGATGCCGGGGTCATGTGTTCAGGTAATGAGTGGGCACTAGAGGGTGATGTTGTGCAGCCTTGGAACCTGGCTAGAAGTTGCACCTGGACTTATTGTACTGATTATTGCATTTATATCTTGCCCTCTTTCTTCTTGCAAAGAAGCCTAAGGCACTAGACCACACTGAGGGAGCATGGCTGCTTTTCAGAAGCTTTCCTGAACTCTGTTAACTGGAGGAGCAAGGGGAGAGGGAGGAGAAGCACTGTGCCACCCAGTCTGTATGCCCTTTTCTGTATTTCTCACATAAAATGATGTACAATATCAAATAGCTTCAACCAGTGATGGCTGTGCACCTTGAGCTGAAACTAGAACTGTTACTCTGTGGGTCTGTTGCCCTGTCCTCATCTCTTCTGCTGATGTCTTGCATCTTATCTTACCACATTCTGGTACTGGAAGGATGGGGGCAGTGGAAAAGTAATCTCTGAAAAAGGGAAAGGAAGGGGAAACTGCACTAAGTGAGACATTGAACCAGTGGCGGCCTTTCTACTGGGCTATTTGGGCACTATTGTGGCAGCTTGTGAAGAATGGCAAAAGGTTTGTGCTGTTCTCGCTGAGCAGTTAGTTCATGATTTCCTGTAGTCTGTTGCTCAGGTTTGGACATGACAACCCATAATGGGTACAACAGTTCCAACACACAAGAAATTAGTTGTCAGGCTGGCTCATATATTCAGCCAGTAGGAAGTGGTCCAGATTCACCCTACATGAGTACTTACCATGGCTTGCCAGCCATGATGGATCACTATGTTGTGTGAACCCTGATGTTGGAAGGGATTGCAGAACATGAGAACCCACACTGTGGCACAAGCCATGCAATGTTGTGGGTTGCAGGCTCAGGATCAATAAAATGCTTGACAAATGATTGGATACATTGGGAGTACATGTGCCCCACCTCCTCCTCTGCCTGTAGGTCTTCCAGAGCACCTGGGATTCCATCACTCCCTGCTGCCACTCCAAGCAATTTTCAGCCCACTGAGGCGCCAGTGTTGCTTCAAAACTTTAAAAAATAGTTCACAAGAGATGCTTTCACAATCTTAATTTATCAGTTCCTGAGCAGTCATCCATGGGTTGTCAGTGAAAAGTAAAAAGCAAATGTGGCACAATTGGGTGGCATACAAATGTTTTAAATAAATAATTGTGTTGCTGCACAGGAGCATCTACAGCAATTGCAGTTATGTGCAGGTGGCACCCATCCTGTCCACTGACATATAAAAGTGCAAGGAAGTAGATCTCCCCTCCTCTCCCCACATCCTTTTGATGCATCTGACACCTGGCAAAATCAGATGCTTCAAAAGACCAGGGGAATCATGGCTTGCAAAAAGAGGGAATCAACCCGCATTTTTTGCAGCAAGATTCCATGGCTTCCCAGGGGGATCTTTTATTTTGGCAATGGCCTCAAGGTACTGCCACCTCAGGAACTTATAAAATCAGTTGGGTTTTTCCCAGGGGAGGGGATTCATTTCTTCCAGTGGCAGCTCAGCTTGTTGCAGTCTATGTCCCTGATGAAACTTTCTACCCCCTCCAAGCCAGTTCTAGAGAGTGGGAGGTAAAAGGGAGGAATTCACAAGGCCCCTTCCCAGCAAGAACTTTGGGATTTTGCAGGGAGCTCAATGTCTCCAAAATGTCCATTTTGGCACTGTTTCCAATGTGATATCACTCCAGGAATATGCAAAATTAGTGGAGAGTCCCCAGAGTAGGGTGGTGGTAATTGCCACAAATGAGAGCACCTTGGAGGAACTGCTCTCTACACTAAAATTGCAAAAGGTAGCTTGAACAAGCAGGTTTTACAGACTTCAGGGTGTTGGGCAGGGGTGGTGGTTAAAGGCTGCAATGGGCTGAAAATAGCTCACAACTGTGGCGAGGAGGGAAACCTCGATATTCCTGCAAAGTCCACTTGGTTCACACAGGAGGACCAAGGCAGAGGAAGTTGGGCATAGATCCACATTATGTCTGACTGTCAAGAGAATCAGTGTGATCATTCCATACAGTGTGGCTTGGGCAGCAGTGTGGGTTGTCATGTAGTGTAAACCCTCCTATTACGAGAAATGGCTTGACTTCTTCAGCCATGAAAGCTTTGTGAACCTTACCAATAACTTCCTGCCTTGATGTTGTGTTTTCCTACCATGTGTTTCCATCAGAACTCAGGTTGGTGAATGGCTCGAGTCGCTGCTCAGGGAGAGTGGAGATATTCCACAACCAAGAATGGGGAACTGTGTGTGATGATCGGTGGAACATGAAACACGCTGAGGTCATCTGCAGGGAACTCAGCTGTGGAGTTGCTCTGAAAGCCAACACAAAAGCTTATTTTGGACAGGGCACGGGGCCCATCTGGCTGGATGACGTGAACTGCCAAGGCACAGAAAACGCCCTCAGTGAATGCTCAGCAAGCAACTGGGGAGTTAATAATTGCAATCATGGAGAAGATGCGGGTGTGGAATGTGCAGGTAATGCATATTTGGTGCTCAATGGCCGTTGAGGTCCAGAATAAACCATTTGGAAGAGGGATGTCAGGAGGACTGCCCCCACCCACATTTGCCTTCTCCAGTGTGGTTGTCCGGAATGCAAAGATGAGTTATAGTCTCTTGATCTCCCTCCCTATCATGGTTTGGTTGCTCCCGCCCCACTGAGATTCAGTTGAGCTGTAATTTTCCTTTTGTCTCTAGATTTAGAGTGAAGTTAAGTGTTTTCCAGCTAATTGTATTTTTAATCTTAGCTTACACCTGATTTAATGGCTATCTTCCACTTTTAATTAATTATACAATTGTTGTATTTTCCTTAAGTGGGCTCCAGACCCTTTACTGGAGCTAAGTCAGGCATATATGTGCTTCTAAATAACTATAATTAACTGATTTTCAAATATAAGATTCTTGACATAAATGTGTCTAGAAGCATGGAAGGCCTTCCTCTAATTCTTATTAGGTGGGTTTTCTCTTTGTGCTCAGCAGTGAAAGAAATATGCATGCTGGGCGTATTTGGGAGCAAAGTCTCTTTAGTCCCTCTATTCCAATGCTACACTAAATTAAATAGCATCCTAGAGAGAATCCTGATTATAATCCTATTACCATGGCCGAGAAGACCAATTCATTCTCTGTCCTTGTTATCCTGTTTTGTACTAAATGAAGTGGGGCAGAAGGATGAGTGTGAGTGGTGTGTGTACATCAATGTACAATCAGATATGCATCCCTTAGCACCCCAGCAGACACCCAATGTGGCTCTGAGGACCACAATTGTGGTGCACTTGTTGTGCACCTCTGATTTAAAAAGCTGCCTCTTTCCTGCAATCTAATCTGGTAGAATTCTACAAAGATTCAAACTTGGGAGTTTTGTGAACTAGCATGTCTGTGCAAGGACAGGAACTTGCTAAATGGGGAAAGGAATGGGGGAAGATGCTTCTATGAAATTGTGTTTTAATTCAGTCTTGGGACCACTGGAGTTGATTTGGGACTTTGATTCCAGAGAGGAACTGCACACTGACTTTAGGTTAAAACTAAAAGAATGAATAAATGGAAAGGGCATTTATATGTGAATTAGCAATGCTTAATGGATGCCAGAGCAGAAAAGGTCCTAATATGTGCTGAAAGATGTTTCCAGGCAATGATCAGCATGAGCAGGAAGGGTTGAGCACCCCCATGGATTGATTCTTCATGCCCTTTCTACTTTTGTGTTTCTTGGCAAACACAGATTTGGAAAATGAGTGTGGTTCAGTCTGAAGAAACTTTATTATTATTATTATTATTATTATTATTATTATTATTATTATTACTACTACTACTACTACTATTATTATTATTATTATTATTATTATTATTATTATTATTATAACATTTCTATGCCGCCCCTTGCCGAAGCCTCGGGGCAGCTTACAACACAATAAAATACAATACAAAAATAACAATATAAAATTAAAATTAATAATATAAAATAAATAAACAATATAAATGATATAAGAGAAGTTAGAAAAGTTGTAAAAGAAAAGAAAAGAAGTCGCCCTGGCCAGATAAATAAGTAAATATTGTTAACAATTAAAATGACGTTTAAATAAAAAGATCTTCACCTGGCGCAGATGAAAAACAAATAACGACAGCGCCAGGCGGACCTCTCTGGGGAGCACATTCCATAGATTGGGCGCCACTGCAGAGAAAGCCCTCCTCCGAGTACCTACCCTCCTAATTTCTTTCACGGAGGGTTCCCGGAGAAGGGCCTCTCCCACAGATCTCAAGGAGAGGTCGGGCATATATGGATGTAAGCGCTCCTTCAGGTAACCAGGTCCCAAGCTGTTTAGGGCTTTATAGGTCATAACCAACACCTTGAATTGGGCCCGGACTTCAATGGGAAGCCAGTGAAGCTGTCGGAGGACTGGAGTCATGTGAACATAACGCCCCGTCCCCGTCAGCAACCTGGCAGCTCTATTTTGAACCAATTGAAATGTCCGAACCATCTTCAAGGGAAGCCCCACGTAAAGCGCATTACAGAAGTCAAG